CTGGTGCAGCCACTGTGGAAAATAGTTTCCTCAAAAAATTAAAACTAGAACTACCATATGGTACAGTGATTCCACTTCTGGGAATATATCCGAGGAAACCTGAAACACTAATTTGAAATAACATATGCACCCGTATGTTCATTGCAGCAATATTTACAATAGCCAAGATTTGGAAGCAGACCAAGTGCCCATCAGTAGATGAGTGGACACAAAAGTTGTGGTACATTTATACAGTGGAATACTACTCGGCTGTAAAAAAAAAAAAAAAAAAAAAAAAAAAAAAAAAAAAAAAAGGAAATCTTACCTTTTGTGACAGCATGGATGGACCTGAAAAGTATTATGCTAAGTGAAATAAGCCAGTCAGAGAAAAACAAATACCATATGATTTCATTTACATGTAGAATCTAATGAACAAAATAAACTAACAAAGCAGAAATAGACTCATAGATACAGAGAACAGAATGACAGCTGTCAGAGGGGAGGGGAGGTGGGAGCCTGAGTGGAAAAAGGTGAAGGTATTAAGAAAAACCCCGCAGAGAGTATGGTGACTGTAAGAGGAAAATGGGGTGGAAGGAGGTAGAAGAGGGTAAAGAAGGGATAAATAGTAATGGAAAGAGACAACTTTGGATGGTGAACACACAATATAATATACAAATGATGTGTTACAGAATTGTACACTTATAACCTATATAATTTTATTAACTAATGTCACCCCAGTATATTCAATAAGAATGTATATAAAATCAATTAAACTTGGATTTCATTTTCAAGAACACTGGTAGGCTGTGATATTTTAGCCTGGAGCTTCTCTCCAATTATTTTTAACTAAAGGCCCAGTGCATGAAATTCATGCATGGGAGGGGGGTGTCCCTCAGCCCGGCCTGCACCCGCTCCAATCCGGGGCCCCTCAGGGGATGTCCATAGGGATCAGGCCTAAACTGGCAGTCAGACATCCCTCTCTCAATCCTGGCTCCTAACAACTCACCTGCCTGCCTGCCTAATGCCCCGACTGCCCTCCCCTGCTGGCCTGGTCACCCCCAACTGCCCTCCCCTGCCGGCCAGATCACCCCTAACCCCCTGCTAGCCTGATCTCACCCCAACTGCTCTCCCATGCCAGCCTGATCGCCCCTAATGGCCTCTGCCTCGGCCCCCACCATCATGCATTTGTCCGGAAGGAAGTTGGATGTCCAATGGCCAGTCGACCCAGTTTAATTAGCATATTACCCTTTTATTAGTATAAACTAGAAGCCTGGTGCACAAAAATTTGTGCACTCGGGGGGGAGGGGTCCCTCAGCCCGGCCTGTGCCCTCTCTCTGTCTGGGACCCCTCAGGGGATGACCACCTGCTGGCTGAGGCCTGCTCCCCAGGGGATTGGGCCTAAGATGGCAATCAGACATCCTCTGGCAGCCTGGCAGCCCTTGGGGGATGTCCACTTGCCAGCGGGGAGCAGACCTAAGCTGCAGTTGGACATCCTTAGTGCTGCTGAGGAGGCAGGAGAGGTTCCCACCACCACCGCTGTACTGGCAGCCATCAGCCTGGCTTGTGGCTGAGCAGAGCTCCCCCTGTGGGAGCGCACTGACCACCAGGGGGCAGCTCCTGCATTGAGCATCTGCCCCCTGGTGGTCAGTGTGTGTCATAGTGACCAGGCATTCCCAGTCTTTCTGCTGTTAGGGTCAGTTTGCATATTACCCTTTTACTATATAGGATAGAGGCCTGGTGCACGGGTTGGGGCTGGCTGGTTTGCCCTGAATGGTGTCCCAGATCAGGGTGGGGGTCCCACTTGGGTGCCTGGCCAGCCTGGGTGAGGAGCTGATGGCTGTTTTCAGGCTGCCCACATCCCCTTCAGGGTGGGGGTACCCACTGGGGTGCCTGGCCAGCCTGGATGAGAGGCTGATGGCTGTTTTCAGGCTGCCTGCACCCCCTTTAGGGTGGGGGTCCCCACTAGGGTGCCTGGCCAGCCTGGATGAGGGGCTGAAGGCTGTTTTCAGGCAGGCCAAGCCTGCAACTGAAGCTCCCAGTCTCTCCTTTTTTTCTTTTCCTTTTTTTTTATTCCCGGATTTATTTACCTTCTGTAATTAAAACTTTGTTGCAGCTCCAGCTCTGAGGCCAGCTGGCTGAAAGCAGGTATCTGGGGATTGTTTAGCTTCTATAATTGCAACATTGTTGCTTAGATTGGAGCTCAGAGCCTGGCCGGGGCAGTCGGGGAACCTTGGCTTTCTCCATCGCCGGGGCAACCAAGCCTCATGTTCACTTCAGCTGCCTGGCTGCCGGCCGCCATCTTGGTTGACAGTTAATTTGCATATCGCCCTGATTAGCCAATGGGAAGCATAGCGGAGGTACGGTTAATTACCATGTTTGTCTATTATTAGATAGGATAATTTGATTGTTGACTCTTTTGGATTTTCTATGTGGACAATCTTATCATCTGCAAATAATAACAGTTTTATTTAGTCGTTCCCAATATTTAAGCCTTTATTTTTTCTTATTCTACTTGCTAGTTAGGAACTCCAGTGCAGTGTTTAATAATAGTTGTGATAGTAGGCACCCTTGTTTTAAAGAAAATGCTATAAATACTGTCTTATTTGGATAATTATTTTGTTACCCTTTTGCAAGTTAAAGATATTTCTTCCTGCCCCTTTTCATTAAGTTTTTATCACTAGTCTTTATTGAATTTCATCAAATGCTTCTTTTTAAAAAAATCCTTATTGGAGGAAATGTTTCCATTGAATTTAGAGAGAGAGAAAGGGGAAAGAGACGGAAAGAGAAAAACATTGATCAGTTGTCTCCATATATGCCTGACCAGGAATCAAACCCACAAACTATGTGACCTGTTGGGGAACCGAACCTGCAACCTTTTGGTATACAGGATGATGCTCCAATTAACTGAGCCACCCAGCCAGGGCTCATCAAATGATTTTTTTTTTATCTGTTGATGATCATATTTTTCTGTGTTAATTTACCATTGCAGTGATTGACACAGATTTTCTAATCTTAAACTTGTTTGTATTCCTGGCATAAACCTAAAATTATGTGTTTTCTTTTTTATGTCCTTTGACTTTGTTTGTTCATTGTTTTCGTATCTTTCATCTATTTTCAAGAAGTGGAAAATAGTTGTACTCTTCTCAGATCCTTTCACATTCCTTACACTTTGCGTGCACCTCCAAGACTTCAGCATATTTTTGTTTCCAATAACCAGAACTTGCTGCTCTTTCTCAGAAGACTGCCTTGCCTGCAGGCTAATAGAACCCACTTTGCCCACAGGCTCAGAGAGGCAGAAGAGCCTAGGAGTTTACATTTCCCTAAAATGACTTCTTAACCAATGAGTGGGGGAGAAGTCTGAAAGCCCTCACCCCTTCTCCTCAGATCAAGACTGTTCTGAGTTCCCCTGGGGACCAGTCAGGAGCTACCCTCTGAGGGACTTTGCTAGAGATCACGCCCTTGCTTCTCCCCTCCCTTCTGTGTTGTACTTCCTCCATTCTCTTCCTGTTTCCATTGGGAGAACTTTCTTTATAAATTACTCAAGCATAAATTCCTGACTTAAGTCTGTTTCTGAAAACAAATTAATGTGTGAAATGGGCCTGTATTTATTTTTTTCTTTTTCATACTATTCTTGTCTGGTTTTGGACTCAGGGTTATAGTGACTTTACAAGAATGAGGTGGAGGGTATTCTTTTTTTATTTTTATTTTTCCTAATTTCCAGTAGAGTTTGTATAAGATTAGATTGATCTGTCCTTTGAAAATTTAGTGTTACTTGCCTGTGATGAACCCAGGATATGAATATGTGGTGGGGGTGGAAGTTACGGGCAGAGGAAGGATATAGTTAGATGTAGTGTTATTGTTTCAGTCTTAGCTTTTGTTTTGGGTGGTTGTCATTTAAAATGACTAACTAAAAGTGAGTCAAACATGAACAAGTAATGATGGAAAGAAACAAGGATTATGATTAAATTCTGTGCACTTGAAGTCCATTAAGGAAATAAATATGTCAACTAAAATCTATGTTATCTGAAATTAATGTCGCTACTGCAGCTTTCTTTTGGTTAAGAGTTGCCTGATATATCTTTCTGATCCATTTACCTTCAACCCCTTCATGCCTGTACTGCCTGCCTCCCTGAGGATATCAGAAATCTCCCTGCAAAGCCTAAAATAAAATTGCAAGAATTGCAATTCACTGCAAAGTTTACAGTCTCCTTTTCAAACAAATTTCCCTTCATCTCCGAATTTCCCTTGTAATTGTCCCTCTGTGTGTAGGTACATGTCCTTGTATCTTTTAGTCTGTCTCAAACTTTTACTTCCATGGAGAGTAAACAGATGGCTTGTTCTGGGACCTGGAGGGAATGGAAGGGGGGTTATTTAAGAAGGATTTTGGTCATGGTGTCTTCCCAACAATGAATTTTCCTAGAATCCCATAGGTGTATGCACACGTGTGTGTGTGTGTGTGTGTGTGTGTGTGTGTGTGTGTGTGTGTGTGTGTATGCGCGCAATTACATGTTCACTGGTCCATAGGCATTTCTCCCCTTTATAGACCCCATGAGGTAGAGTCTCTGGACCTTCCTCTGCCTGGAAAGGGCCTAGAGCAGTGGTTCTCAACCTGTGGGTCACGACCCCTTTGGGGGTCAAATGACCCTTTCACAGGGGTCGCCTAAGACCATCGGAAAACACACATATAATTACATATTGTTTTTGTGATTAATCACTATGCTTTAATTATTTTCAATTTGTAACAATGAAAATACATCCTGCATATCAGATATTTACATTACGATTCATAACAGTAGCAAAATTACAGTTATGAAGTAGCAACGAAAATAATTTTATGGCTGGAGGTCACCACAACATGAGGAACTGTATTAAAGGGTCGCCGCATTAGGAAGGTTGAGAACTACTGGCCTAGAGTCTGCTACACTGGTTCTTGAGCCCAACTTCTCCTTATATGTGACAAAGGAGCTATAAGACTGATCCCACAGCTGCAGCCCCTCACTTTTGTGCTCTCCATCTTCCAGGTGCCTTTCTCCAATTGCAGCAGAGTTTGCCTGGAAGGGACCAGGAAGGGAATCATTGAGGGGAAGCCCACCTGCTGCTTTGAGTGCGTGAAGTGTCCTGATGGGGAGTACAGCGATGAGATAGGTAACGGAACAGCCCTTTGTGGGCATCAGGTAGAGCTTTGGGGACCTGAGGTCAGTGAAGTCCCTCGAAGGGCTAGGCTGAGATGATGTTTAGCACAGTTTCTCATTTAACAACGTATATCTGAGCATCATGCTGGGCTGGCCTCTGAGGGAGATAGAAAAAAAATGTTAGATGTCTTACAACACCATGAGAGCTTACAAACACACCTGTTACACATCTTCCTTTTGCTTTAATACTTCTTTCCAATAGTTTTTCTTTGCTTATAGCTCAGAGGCCCTGAATAGACAAACTTCTGTCTGATCCAGGCTCCAGAGTTAATAGGCCATGACAGATGGCCTCTGGGTGCCTGGCACTGTACTTGCTGTCTTACTCATGTTTTTCCTGTGCCTCAGTTTCCTCACCTCTAAAGTGAGACTTCAATGAGTTAATATTGGTAAAGCACATGGTAAGTTCAAGGTAAATGTCTATTCAATAAAATCCTTGCTGAGCACATTGGAAGCACTCTATAAATATTAAGTATAATTGCTATTATCTAATTTCATCCTCCCCATAATAAGGGGTTATTATTGCTTCCAGTTCATACATGAGAAAACGGAGGCCCAAAGTTCATACCGCTAGTAAATGGCAGGGCCAGGATTCCCATCCAGCTCTCTGACTGCAAAGCCCATATTCCTTTCACGTCCCCAGACTTCATGGGCGAGGGACACACCAGAGACTTAATACACGTTCCTTGATTAAATGAGCCTATAGCCTCCTTCATTGGAAAGCCTTGGAGGAAGGCACAGGTCATAGTGTGAGATACGCTACCTAGATCTGAGGATGTCTCCCTCAGGCATGTCTGCAAAGCCCATCCACATATCCAGAATGAGTCAGGCTGAGCTTGAATCATTCTGTGAAAAGTTGGTGGACTATGCCATACCTCTGGGCAGCCACCTGTCCAGCAAGATTGATCATTCTCTGCTGCAAACCATCAGCAGATAGTCTTAAAGGAAACATGTACACCACCACCACCCCATGTACAAAGGGGCAAAAACTATAGATAATCAAAGGTATATGAAATTAAGTATAGAATTAAACATGTCCGAGTTCAGTATATTACTTGATCATGTAAAAATCACAATTTTCATCAGTAAGTACAATGTAAAGTGACCAGACCCACTAGCCTGTGTACGCTCACCACCACATTCACACTCATAAATTTTAGTCGATGCTACTCGGTCACTCCCTCTTCGCTGGGACATTTTACAGATGCAAGTGCCTGCGACAAGTGCCCGGATGACTTCTGGTCCAGCGAGAACCACACTTCCTGCATCGCCAAGGAGATCGAGTTTCTGTCCTGGACGGAGCCCTTTGGGATCGCGCTCACCCTCTTCGCGGTGCTGGGCATTTTCCTGACGGCCTTCGTGCTGGGGGTCTTCATCAAGTTCCGCAACACGCCCATCGTCAAGGCCACCAACCGAGAGCTCTCCTACCTCCTCCTCTTCTCCCTGCTCTGCTGCTTCTCCAGCTCCTTGTTCTTCATCGGGGAGCCCCAGGACTGGACCTGCCGCCTGCGCCAGCCGGCCTTCGGCATCAGCTTCGTGCTCTGCATCTCCTGCATCCTGGTGAAAACCAACCGCGTCCTCCTGGTGTTCGAGGCCAAGATCCCCACCAGCTTCCACCGCAAGTGGTGGGGGCTCAACCTGCAGTTCCTGCTGGTCTTCCTCTGCACCTTCGTGCAGATCGTCATCTGTGTGATCTGGCTCTACACCGCGCCGCCCTCCAGCTACCGCAACCACGAGCTGGAGGATGAGATCATCTTCATCACCTGCCACGAGGGCTCGCTCATGGCGCTGGGCTTCCTGATCGGCTACACCTGCCTGCTGGCCGCCATCTGCTTCTTCTTCGCCTTCAAGTCCCGGAAGCTGCCGGAGAACTTCAACGAAGCCAAGTTCATCACCTTCAGCATGCTCATCTTCTTCATCGTCTGGATCTCCTTCATCCCGGCCTACGCCAGCACCTACGGCAAGTTCGTCTCTGCCGTGGAGGTGATCGCCATCCTGGCGGCCAGCTTCGGCTTGCTGGCCTGCATCTTCTTCAACAAGGTCTACATCATCCTCTTCAAGCCGGCCCGCAACACCATCGAGGAGGTGCGCTGCAGCACCGCGGCGCACGCCTTCAAGGTGGCGGCCCGGGCCACGCTGCGCCGCAGCAACGTCTCCCGCAAGCGGTCCGGCAGCCTCGGGGGCTCCACGGGGTCCACCCCCTCCTCCTCCATAAGCAGCAAGAGCAACAGCGAGGACCCCTTCCCGCAGCCCGAGAGGCAGAAGCCCCAGCAGCCGCTGGCCCTGCCCCAGCAGGAGCCGCCGCCGCAGCCGCCGCCGCCCTCGGCCCTGCAGCCGCAGCAGCAGCCCAGATGCAAGCAGGTCATCTTCGGCAGCGGCACCGTCACCTTCTCGCTGAGCTTTGACGAGCCTCAGAAGAGTGCCGCGGCTCACAGGAATTCCACGCACCAGAACTCCCTGGAGTCCCAGAAAAGCAACGACACCCTGACCAGGCACCAGGCGTTACTCCCGCTGCAGTGCGGGGAGCCGGACTCAGAACTGACCGCCCAGGAGACAGGCCTGCAAGGGCCTGTGGGTGGAGACCGCCAGCCAGAGGCAGAGGACCCCGAAGAGATGTCCCCAGCTCTGGTCGTGTCCAACTCCCGGAGCTTCGTCATCAGCGGTGGAGGCAGCACTGTCACAGAGAACATACTGCACTCCTGAAATGGAAGGAGAAGGCCCGTCCAGGGAGGATCCAGAGAGCTCCTGGGATCCATACACTCTCCCACAGGGGTGAGGGACTGCTCCCAACTCCTTGCCTCTGAGGAAGGAGGAATAATAGACATGCCAGACGCCTGGAACTTAGCTGCACTGTTTTATATGGCAGTGAGTTGACTAATGTTCCCTTTAAAATTTAAAAAAAGAAGAGCCGTGTGCTTCTGTGGTTGGATTCGTCAGAGCACTGAGTCGCCATGGTCAGATTTGCTGTTCATGTCTCTTCTTTTGTTCTCTTCTTCTGTTCTAGCTGACCCAGCAGCCCAGAGAGGGAACCAGGCTTTAAACCAATCACTTACCCTCCACCTACCCCCTCTCTTCTTTGTTCTTTTCTTTCCTACTGACATGACCGCCCTGAGCATTGCGGACAGCCTGGCCCAGGGACAGTGTGCAGCGGCAGGACATCATCTTGGCCACCACTGGAGTGAAGAGTCTCAAAGGCAGGATGTCACCAGTGTTGCCCAGCACCTTGACAGGGGAAGAACTTTACATGTTCAAAACCGTAGGTGAATGTGTCCCTTCCTATTTATGGAAGCCATAAGGTGTGTGGTCTTCTACTTGCTGCTGCTGTCATGCGGCACCTAGAAAGTTAGCTCTCCTCCTGTACCAGTGCACCTGGTTTCATGCAGCATGTGACCGTGATGCCACGCTTAGATTCCCGGAGGATAAAGAACCACCTCAAATTGTTGGGAGGGGACTGCATAACTCCACTGAGCTGTATCTGAAATTAATATTGCTCTAGGTACCTTTCTCCTTAAGAAAATGCTTCTGTTGTCACAGTCCATGGACAATATAAACTGAAAAAAGTCACAGTTTGGCTTATATAAGGCAGTATTACTGAGCTCCGTATTCCTTGCCCACCCCCCCACCCCCACCCCATAAGCTAAGCCCTATGTGAGCCCTTTCCGGGCCCCAGGAGTCCAGAATCTGCACCCATCCTTGCCCCAAAGGCTTCCTGAAGCCAGATTTATCCTTGTGCCTGTGGAGAATAAGCTCTCAGTCATTAGTCCCCTACCAGTTGCTGGGGTGAGACAGTGTGGTTTCAAGAGAGCTCTCACAAGGCATTAGCCTGGCCCTCCACCCCCCAAATGCCATACCATGTTCCCTCCAGCAGTGGCAGCCTGCCCATGGGTAGTTAAAGGGGTTGAATGGCATACAGCCGAGATGTCAGGCTCTAAACAGAGAAACCTAGGTTCAAGCCCTGGGTTGGCCACTTATCAGTTGGGTGACTATAGACCAGGAACGCTGGCCTTGGTGAGCCCCAGCTTCTTTGTCTCCAAAATGGGGATAATAATCATCCTTTTCCCTCAGAGCTCTTATGTGGATTAAATAAGATAATGTATGGGTCTCTCTCTCTCTCTCTCTCTCTCTCTCTCTCTCTCTCTCTCTCTCTCTCTTTCCCTCTCCCTCTCCCTCTCCCTCTCTGTCTAGCACACCCATGCCTTTCCCTACCCTCTTCCCCAGGCATGTTTTCCTTGCCTCTCTTTCTCCTAAGCTCCAGGGGCCCTTCTTTTGCCTCTGCCACTTGTTTCCTGAGCCCATTTCTTCTAGGCTCACTTCTTCTACCTCTGTGACTTTCTAAATAAACTTTCTCTTATTAAAAAAAAATGAGATAATGTATGTAAAGTACTTTAGCATGGTGCCTAGCACATAGTAAGCACACAATAAATATTAGTTAATATTATTACTGATATTGTAATTATTTTTTCACTTGTTTGAAATACAAAACAAACTTGTTTATTTATCATTCAGATTTTAATGACAAGCCCACTGATGACAATAACGTTCTCCATAATAAACCCAAGAACTCAGGGCCCAGGTCACGGTGTGAGCCCTGGTGATATAGCTTGTGCTGAAGAAGAGAGGTCAGGCACTTGCCCAGAGGCTCCACACTCTGCCTCTGTGATGTCAGCACCCAGATCTCCAGGACCAGCGGAAAACTGTCCCAGTCTGGCCGTAGTTTCTCAGGTAGTTTAGATGACAGTGAATTGACTAATGTTCCCTTTAACATTAAAAGAAGAGCCGTATGCTTCTGTGGTTGGATTCGTCAGAGCACTAGGATCACCACGGTCAGGTTTGCTGTTCGTGTCTCTTCTTTTGTTCTCTTCTCAGTTGCTGCTCCTAAGCCAAGGCCAAACGTAGCAATTGTGTCTGGGTGAGGCCTCAAACTTTATAGCTGCCGATAACTTCTTCCTCTGATCGCCTTCCTCCAAAGAGCTGCCTTTCCATGCATGATTTTTAAAGTAACCTATCAATTGATATGACAGTTGTTCATTTGGATGAAAAGACAATAGAGGGCGCCACATGGAAGCATGACTCAGATTAAGAGAAGGTTTCACACAGGAAAGCCCCGGTGAGGCATCTGCTCCCCTAGCCAGGCCAGCCTGCTGTTCCCACCCTGGTCACACCTATGAGCAAGGCACAGAGCTGAGTGAAGGTTCATATGTAACATTTTACTCGGCCTGTTTTTTTAAAGCTGAAAGATTGATGGCTTGGTTTTTATGTGTCAGCATAGTTATGTGGAAATAGCTCTTAGCGATGCAAAATATCGCATACTTATCGTTCCCAAGATTGATTTCACTGTGCAGCTCACCCATCATGCAGCGATCTGGAAGGGAGCAAGGGGGCTCATCACAGACAACACACCGGTTACACTGAGCTTCATTTCACCAAGTGCTTGCAAATAAAGCATTCTCTCCCATTATTCTTGTCAGAAAGGGAGACTCAGTGTCATTGTCCTCATTTACATGTAGCTGGGATAGCTCTCAGCACAAAATCAAAGGTATGAAATAAGAACGCGCATTACTTTTCTGTGATAAACTAGTTTCTATCTCAAATTCCCATTCAGCCTTGTGACAGAAACTTCATCTTAGTCAACTTGGGATTTTTCCCAGTGACTTCAAAGGTTTCTGAATCAGAGCATGGCAATGGATTTATGGTGGGCCCTGCTCTGTAGGCCTCTCATAGTGTACCCATGCCAGAATAAACTGCAGCCCCGAATCATTGCCCCACCTCCTTACCCATGGGCTGTGAGCACTGAAGGGGAGTACACAGTTTTCTGAATCAATTTGAATTTCTGGGGGTCTGACTTCAGAGGTTTGTTCCTTTCCCCTCTCAGGAGGGTTTTTTGTAGTGTAAAAGGGGCGGGATTCCTCATATATGGGCAGCTGCTGTTGACATCTCTGAGAACATTCTTATCTTGTCCCCCAATAATTAATATGCCTCCATGCTAGCATTCTCTGAGGCATTAATTGCATCCCCATAGGGTCCCCACACATGGGATCCACAGTGATTTCCTCAGCTGCATCACCCCTCCCAGGCCTGCCAGCTCTCTCATGAGAGGGGGCACTGGGGCCTGGGAACTACCGGGCAGCTCTCAGGCCCCTCCCTCCTGGCACCCTACACTGCCACGTCTACTTGACCGCTGCCTCCCATGCAGGTATGAAGAATTCAAGAAGGCCAACAAGCTTCCAAGACGCCAGAAGAAAAACAGGGCGCATGCCTCTAAACCTGCATAGGCATTTGTGGAAGGCCGAATAAGGTTCCCCAAAGATGCCCATATTCCAATCTCCAGAGCCTGTGATGATACGTTATACCACGCGGGTAAATTAAGGCTGCAGGTGGAATTAAAGTTGCTAATTAGCTGACCTTGAGATAGGAAAATGAGTCTGAATGATCCAGGTGGGCCCAATGTAATCACAAGGCTCCTCAAAAGCAGAAGAGGGAAGCAGAAGAATCAGTGTCAGAGTGATGCAATGTGAGAACAGCTCCACTGGCCATTGCTGCCTTTGGATAGGGAAGGGGACCATGAGGCAAGAAAAGCAGGCAGCTTCTATAGGGTGTCCCAAAATTCACGCAAAATTTGCAATTGAATTGAATTGCGAATCTTGCGTGAATTTTGGGACACCCTATAGAAGCTGGAACAGGCAAGAAGACCAATTCTCCTGAGTTTCCAGAAGGAACCAGCCCTGTGAACACCTTAATTTTAGCTTAGTGAGACCCTTTTTGGACCTCTGACCTCCAGAACTGTAAGATAATATCTTTTTAAAATATATATATATTTTTATTGATTTCAGAGAGGAAAGGAGAGGGAGAGAGAGATGGAAACATCAATGATGAGAGAGAATCATTGATCGGCTGCCTCCTGCACGCCCCCTACTGGGGATCAATCCTGCAATTCAGGCATGTGCCCTTGACTGGAATTGAACCTGGGACCCTTCAGTCTGCAGGCCGATGTTCTATCCAGTGAGCCAAACCGGCTAGGGCAAGATAATATCTTTATGTTGCCTTAAGCCACTAGGTTTGTGGTAATCTGTTCCAGCAGCAACAGGAAATTAGCACAACAATCTTACTGTCATCTCCTTCCCTGAGTGTTGGCAGCTCAGGGAACAAGCCTGGGCCTTCCTCAGAGATCCACATCTGCTCTTGTAGCGTTCTCCCCACCAACTAGTTTCCTCTTTCTCCCCTCAGAAGAAAGTTCTGATAATACTCTATTTCTCCAAATCTTTTTGGGGAGAAGTATAAACCTTGTTTTCTGAGTCTTTCTGGATTTTAGTTTTAGATAATAGCCATTTTCTCTCAATCTACTAGTATTATCTGTTAGTTGTAGAAATCTGAAAAACAGTGGCTTCAACAAACCAGGGTTTGTTTTTCTCTTGTATAAAATAGACCAGGTTGCTTGGCCGGTGTGGCTCAGTGGTTGAGTGTCAACCTATGAACCAGGAGGTCATGGTTCGATTCCTGGTCAGGCACATGATCGAGTTTCAGGCTCCATCCCCAGTGTGGGGCGTGCAGGAGGCAGCCAATTAATGATTCTCTCTCATCATTGATGTTTCTATCTCTCTCTCCCTCTCCTTTCCTCTCTGAAATCAATAAAAATATTTTTTAATTAAAAATAATAATAAAATAGGTCAGGAGAGTTTCCTTTAGATTCTCTGGCAAGATTCTTTAGAGTCGTCTGGCAATGGGAAACTATTTACTTTTCTTTGGAAAACAAAAATGAATTGTACAGTTATAAAGGACTTTCATTCAAATGATAGCATTTCCTAGAAGACTTTAAAAATTTATGTTGGTAGTTCAGAGGTAACAATTAGCATATAACATTGTCCCCCTGAAAGTCCCTATGCTCATTAAGAGTTGTATAATTGCATTAGTTTCAATTTTGGGGAAATCAGGGCTGCTCTACCTCTATCTACAACCGTTGTATTTAAGGTCAATGTTATTTCTCCTTTTGGCCTGGCTAAAATAATATAAACTGTGGGCTAGTTCTGCATGGAGCCAGAGTTTCCCTCTGCTCATCTGCATTCAAACTTACCAGTGATAGAAGAATATGAGAACATCAGTAAGGAGAGCTGGTTAATCACTGGAGGAGGTGGCCTGCATTGGTCTAACACAGCTGGTCATTTTAGGAGCCTGCTGGGGACAAAGGCATCTCCCAAAGATGGGTGGAATTTGGGTAGGTGGAAGAAAGTTCTTGTAGTGAGATCACTGGTCTCCAGGAGAACCCGGATTTCCTGTCCCGGGTCATGAAAGAATATTCGGGGGTGAATGAGAACTTCGCTATTGTACAAGGAGTGAGGTAAGGGTCAGAGATACTATAGGTACAGGGTAGAACTAGTCAGGAGAACCAAGTTGCATTTCATTTCAAAGATAGGGAGAGGTGTTTTAGCCTTAAGGGAAACTGCTCAGCCAGTGGTATGAGAAGTGGAGAATTAATAGAAGAAGGCCAAATTGGGGTGGGTGGAGGGCAGAACCAGCATGAAAGTTTATTTAGGGTTTGGAGGGACAATCAAGGCATCAAATAGAGTTAAGGGGACCTTCTCATCTGCTGGAATGACCAGCACATCCCCACCCTCCCATGAATCCTACACAAGAATGGAGTTTGGAGTGGAGGTAGGGGTACCTACTTATATCAAGAGCTGGATTGGAGGAAGCAGTGAGCTATGGAGATATGTCACCAGCTGCCTCCCTCTGAAATTTAGACACTAGCTAGCTGGATAACTAACTAGAGTAGGAGGCTAGAATTAATGAAAACAATTAACTAGGACTGAGCTTCCAGCACGTGATGGGCAAATGCTTATGAGTATAGTGAAACAGGTAAGAGAGCAAAGCCCAAGAATAACCTTCAGGGTCAGTATAAGACTTGATCCCTGCCGAAACCGGTTTGGCTCAGTGGATAGAGCGTCGGCCTGCGGACTGAGAGGTCCCAGGTTTGATTCCGGTCAAGGGCATGTACCTGGGTTGCGGGCATATCCCCAGTAGGAGATGTGCAGGAGGCAGCTGATCGGTGATTCCCTCTCATCGATGTTTCTAACTCTCCATCTCTCTCCCTTCCTCTCTGTAAAAAATCAATAAAATATATTAAAAAAAAAAAGACTTGATCCCTGACAAAAGCATCAGGAAATGATTTTGGAAAAATGTGGCTATTCTTCTTAACATTAACCCAAAGATGTGGTTATTGCTTAAAATCTCCCAATTTTCTTTAAATGTTTTGTTTCTACCTGACCTCTAAAAACATTCAAATTATAAACAGAGACTTTGGCTTCTTTAGAATTGTCTATACTTCCAAA